TGGTTACAGTTTCCCCAAATTCACGATTGCCGACAATCAAATTATGTTACAATTTAATAGTATTGACATTTTTGTGCAAAAGCCAGGTAGCCCGGATTGGTGGGTCACAGAATTGAACGTTTTCGATCCTCAACCCACGGTCTTTTCCTTGTTAATTTGATGTGGTCGACAGTGTGTATTCATGTTTGTAAAGTCGCGTGTAAACGCCGATTTCCCTCGACAAAGTGGTTACGTAACCAGTTGTTAGAGTAGCCGTAGTCGGCGGTGACATAAGCGTTTTCGGTAACTAGTTCTACTGAGTTGTTTGTAGTTGTGCGATCGCGAGTGAAAGTCGACATGAGTCTTTGAACCAGAATAAACATGATTAAGTTGCACTGTGGAGATTCAAATACATCGTAATGAATTCCTTATAGGGATGGTGTCTGGGAAAAATAAATCTTTAAGTATGCTAGTGCGTACAGTTGCAACCATACATTTCTGAAAGTGACTCCATTTAAATGTTACTATAGGTGCAAAAACGAGAGAATGAGTAAGGATATGAACACATTGAAAAAAAATATTTTGTGATTTTTCATTTTTATTATATTTCAGTTCGACACCATTATCCAAAAAGGCCATGAAGCTCTTGTTCATCACATGGTATTGGTAGGTTGCAGAGGTAATGTCTCTTCTATTACTGGCTGGTCAAATATTTGCGATAGAGACAAATTTATGCAATGCACAGAGATATTGTACGCATGGGCAATCGGTGCCGGGGTGAGTATTTTTGAATATTTAAATTTTGAAACTCTACAAATGGTTTTAATGGAAACGACTATCTACTTTAAAATAGTGAAAATTTTCATTTTGGTAATTAACTGCCGACCAGGGGAGGATATGAAATTTTTCCAACTGGGGAGGGGGGAGGGGAAACAACAACAGTGTTCAGTGTGAAAACGGGAGTGGGGAACCTTGCCCGTGTCCCCTACTGGATCCACTCTTCCCGGCTAATTGTCATCAGTTTCCCGCTTTTTATTCATCAAAGTTATTACAAATTCTATTTGCAACATCTCTGTTAATTTTTACAGTATGTCACTGTAAAAGAAGTGATTTTTCCCTTGTAAGATAAGCTGTAATATTCTAAGCATTGCTACTGTAGGCCTATTACATAGGCTTACAGAGTTTAGATGAAGTGAGTTGCAGCCGACTCTTGAATTTTAGAAGGTTCATTTAACATTTCGTGTTTTTTTTTCGAGAGATATTCTTCATTCTTCAAATATTTCACTTAAATTTCAGAAGTGGCAATAAAAGCTTATAAAGAAAGTCGAACGTCTCGTCAACAACAATTTCTGTGATGTGTAACCCAAATTTATTAGTACTATTGTTTATCCGCCAAGCTAACACTTAAACAACAATGATATGCTAAACATTATTTCAATTTTTCAGTTTTGCCAAAATGTACTTCATAAAGGGAAGTCGTAGATGATACCATTCTTAAATTGTAGTGTACACACAATTCTCTACATAAACCAAGGACTTTTAACTGTACAGTTGAAAGTCCTGGCACAGACTTGTCTGAAATTGTGAGGCTGAAGGTGTGCAGTTGTTTTGCTGTGATGGCAAACTTGAACATTTCTACCCCTAAATTAGTACGGGGATCTGATCCTTGTTATGTTACGTTAACTGAGTACCTCTAAGGGTCTACCGCTTTCCCCTATATAGACTTCTTCGCAGTTCTTGCATAGAACATCACACCACTATTTGTTCATCCGCTGGAAGAACAACCATGCTTCTTTGGAAGTCGGACGGTAGCATGACGAAATTTATGTGTGCAAAATGTTGATTTATTTTTATGACAATCCCCGGATACACAGGAGTAAAACTGAACCTTGAAACTACTTTTTGGTGACATTATTAGCTGTTGCTCTTCTTTTGACACTGTCCTATCTTTATGTCCATTTGGGATAAGCAGAAACTTTGATTGCCTTTTTTATGGTTATTATTTCTGCTTTTATAACGTTAGTGCAATTTCAAGGTGTTTTGCTCTGTCTGTTAGAAAAACGTTTAATTTGTTTTGTATAGGGTTATGCGAATTGAAATACAGGTACTGATTGGTAATAATAGACTTATATCTGCGGTGTATTTCACTGGCTTTCCCACAAGTTGGCTACAACGGCGGACATTAGACTCCTACCCTATTTCTGCTGATATATTTCCATTAATCAGGAAATGTGTTCAGTTCAGTTCTTGTACCAATTTCTCAAAGCTATATTTTTACTATATTTATAGAGGGATACCCTTCCAGAGTATCCTAGAAGGTCGGTTGATGTTCAGAGGCCCTCTATAAATAAATGCAATAATGTGATGCTTTTATCAGCGAAGTATCTTTATGAGGCTTAGGGAGTGGAGTTGTTTTTAGTCGTTAGATGAACAAGTCCTGCTGTCAAAGGAACTGAAACCAGGACCCTGGGATTAGAAGGAAAGCATCTTAACCACTAAACTATTCAACTCCACTCCAATTTTGTTTATTCTCCACTATAACAAGCTCATCTCATCGGACAACCTCCGGATGGGCTGTTACTTACCTGTTGCAAGCAATACATGGTCGTCGACCATTGGGCGTCTTTATAACAACTAACACACCGTTGTAAAAAGTCATGAGTTTCAATCCGAAACCGTGAACATAAAAGCAATAATTTTCGCAAATATTTTGATGCAATTTAAAGAAATTTATATTAAATTAAGACGGACAGGCAAATTATTTAATCAATAACCTTTTGTATATTTATTTTTGTTTACTTTTAGACGTTCGAGTTTCCAGAGCACGTCGGCTTACTACTTGGTGGAGAAAATGATCCCAATCTATTTTTTATTGAAACGCATTATGACAATCCTGGACATAGGCCTGGTAATCAATCTCACAGTTTAAAGTCATGAAATTCAGAATGAGTTTTTCAACAAATAATTTAGTTAAATATACGGTTATATGGTAGTTTCTCCCGGAAATTTGCCCCCCCCCCCCCCCACCACCAGCACCCCCCCCCCCTCCCACCACCAGCACTTTCCTCCGGTATTTTTACCAGTGACATTTTCCCTCGTAACTAATATTTGTCTGGGAGGCAAATGTCAATGTTAGCAAATGTCCGGGGCGTCCTTTAGCCCAACACAGACAAAAATGTCCTCATGTAATGCATGTTTACAAGTCCGTTAATTTTTTCTCAGCGATTTTCCTTTATTTGTTTATTGGTTTTATAGATTTTGTGGATAATTCCGGGTTTAGAATTCATTATACACCGACTCTTCGACAATACGACGCTGACATTTGGTTTTTAGGCGAGGCTTTCATAGGAATGGGTCAAATGATTCCACCAAATGAACCCGATTTCAAAACACATGGAATTTGTTTTGGTGATTGCACAAAAGTGGTAAGTTTGTCGACATGTTGGTGCAACTACCAATTGATTAGATTTTTAAATTTGAATTATTATATTATGTCTTTCAATTTTATTTTACTATACCTATTCAGCATCCTCGTTAACATGTCCATCGTAATAACATTATCATATACATCACCATCGTCATCATCTTCTTCCACCTCATCATCATCATAATCATCATCATCATCATCGTCATCATCATCATCATCATCAAGAGTTAAGTGACATACGTTTCAATCAATTGCTCTACAATTGGATGCAAAATCTTTTCTTCAAAATCATGCTATTTTTCTCTCTCAGACTTTAGAACTGTGTCGGGTAAGTTTTTTTCTATGCTTTCTGCGTGTTTCTCTCTAATTCTTTTTGCAATACACTATTATCTATTCTATTGTTAATAGGCACTATTCCTTACTATTCTTGGTTCCAGTCCATCTCTAGTTTTTATTTGTTCATATATATTCTCATCTGTTTAGTCACCGATCCAGTCATTAGCTTTGAAATTCCCCTTAAGTTCCTTTTATTCTTTGCAAAAGCAATGTATTTTGTTTTGTGAAATTTATTGTTAACTACTACGTTTTATTTTTTTTTCTTTACCAAATTCATAACCAAACATGTTATTTATTTATTTATGTATATTATTCAATTGCATCAATGTCCAAATAGACATTTTTTAAATTTCTTTTGCCCCCCTTGACTTCTTTTAAAAAGTTCTTTAAGCACATGACGATGGTATCAACATGCTAATGTGTATATAATTATAAGGTAATACTGTTCCACTACGCATGTGCAAAAATGTGTAAAATATCAGTTGCTTTTATCTTTGAAAATTTCGAATAAAGCCTTAATGGCCTAATTGGTTAAGAAGTCTGCATAGGCAGCTGAAGGTCCTAGGCTCGAATCTCTTTTGTGGAGACCTTTTCACAATCGCATCTCTTTAACATGCCAAATGTATTATTTAAGATAGCATTATTGCAAGACGGTTTAGAGTTTACTTCTTTATTGTACCATATTTTTATATCATTTCAGGGCATTGGGGAAGACATCAAGGTGTTTGCCGCCTTTCTTCATGGTCACCTTGCAGGTACTAATAAATTATACCATTACTTATTATGAATCATGTTTATCAAACTATTTGTTTGTCTTCTTGTCTGTTAACATGTTTGGAATCCACACTCACGCTACGGTTTCATTAAATCCCTAAATTCTTTTGAAGTGTTTAAAGTGTTTAGAGAAATTACACTTACATATTATTAATATCATTGTTATTATTACTATTATTATTATTATTATTATTATTATTATTATTATTATTATTATTATTATTATTATTATTATTATTATTATTGTTGTTGTTGTTGTTTGTTGTTGTTGCTATTATTACTATTATTAATATTTTACAGCTCGAAAGATTAACGTGCAGCATTATCGTGACGGCAAGCTTATTCACGAAATTCGTGACGATCACTATGATTTCAACCTTCAAGAAACACGTCTGTTGACGAAGGAAAGGATTTTTAAACAAGTAAGAATCAACCAGCATCACTATCGGCATCTTCATATAGTTTCAAGATTATATAATTAGGAAAAATGATAACTTAAAATACATGATTATGAAAAGAGCGATAATATCAATACTAAATATAAAAAGAATAGTATTATTATCATTACATATTTTGTAGAATTTGTGTATGTTGTATATGTCTGTTATAACATATGTTTGGTTGCATGTTATATTTAATTAGGGTGACGAGTTCGTGGTGACTTGCTCTTACAATACCATGGGCAGAACAAATATTACGTTTGTAAGTATTATGCAATGATTTATATGAAAATGTTAGAAAGGTTTTTAAATTTTTTTTATATATAATTTTTAAAATTATTGTTTTATGTTTTGGGCGGCTTTAATCCAGATTGAGACATTTTTTATTCAAAAAAAAAAACCCCTCCTTTTTGTTTATTTGTTTGTTTCATTATTCATAAATGCAAAAGGAAATAATTGCCAGGAAATAATAAAATTTGTTATAAATCAAAATCGAATGGGCTTGTAACACCACTGCGGAAGTCAAAAATGCAAACTCTCGCTGTTAATGTAAGTACCACACTTTACACGATATGACCTATTGTTATGTTGTGGACAATCAGGGGCAGATGTG